AGATGAGATAGGACTGATAGGTGGACCCAGGAATATACTGCCTCACCAAACATTGGGGAAAGCGAGCAATCTCCCATTTCCAGCAGTTTTTTCTCCTACGAAAAGTGCAAAGCGCTCATTCATTTCGTTGACTGATCGACTCATTCACTCATCTACTCGCTCATTTATTTTCATTCATTTACTTATTTTATACGTTCAATCACCAATTCACTCACACACAGGTATGGCCATTCGCGCAACTCTTCAATTTTTATGTGCTGCCGTTACGTTACAGAGTTGTATTTGTGCAATTCATAGGACTATTTTGGAATATGTACTTATCATATGCTACGCAAGCTGAAGTTAAAAAAGGCAAACGAAGCAAAGAGGAAAATTAGAGAATACTAGCATTGTTGTATTGTTGCATTAATTGAATTATCAGAAAAAAAGGAAAGAAAAAAACACGCCGCACTTTTTACGTAAAAAAGAAAAATATCTCCAGAAAAATAGGAAAGAAGAATTTGACAAAAACTGCGTTAAGTGGAAAGAAGCTCAGAAACGCGAATATGACTTTAAGTGCTGAAATGGGGTGACAAAAGAAAATGCAGGAGATGCTGGAAAGTTTTTTGAAACGGTAAGAAATACCTAATATCGTAGAAACTTTGGTGATGTCAGAATATGCGTTGACTGGTTATCATAACAAAAAAAGGAAATGAAGGAACATTCTTAGGGAGCCAAAATATTGGTTTTTTTTTTTTTTTTTTAATTTCCATTGTATAAGAATTTCCCTGCAGAATTATCCTTTACGGCGCCCGTTTTCGCTGCTATTATATATAGAAAATGCAGAATTCGTTTATGGTTGATATTCGTTGATCTTAAGAAGGCTTTCAGCTTAGTGGAACACACTGCTGTGCTGTAAGCTCTCTCAGATCAAGGAACTGCTTTTAGGTGAAAAATGACAATGGTTTGGATATCAATTATAATTTGTTAAACTAAAACATTAATATACTGAGTTTGACGAGCAGCTCTTGCGAAATGGAAAAGATTCTACAGATGCACAACGCAGAAAGTACGTATCGAAAAGGAAGGTGATGCAAAATGCCATGCAAAATTCCCGCGACGGGCCTTCAAATCAAGTGGCTTGTCTGCGATCCTTGCTGCCTTCGTCTCCGACCATATTCAGCTTTGCTGGCTCCATTTGACTTAGATGTAGTTTTCCAAACCAAAAAAGAGCGGAGTATCAAATATATTTAAAGGAGTGTGCCAAATTTACCATAAATACGGCCTTCAAAATTTGGCACCATTTTATTGCTAAATTTGAGGCAATTGCTGCATTTTGTCTCGGCTTTCAAATTCCGTTCTTTGTCGGCTGCTTTTTTTTTCAATTTTTCTCCTCGTCGACTACATTTTGTGCTTGTCTTGCTTTAATTATATGCACCATCAGCTGAATGTTCCGGTTACTTTTTTCCAAATTTACCCTTTCGTCTAGGAACAATATCGGCGTTATTTGAATGTAGGAGAAAACAGGGAAAAAATACATTCAAGAAAGCTTCTTTTTCTATTCAAAATGCATAATGTCAGCGGAAACCAAAACATTTCGTTTT